TAGGGGTGCAACCCATTATCTATCTAAGTGGTGCTGAACCTTTTTACCCCAAGCTTGATCTTGATCTTGATCTTGTATTCCTTTACTTACTAAAGCCACAAAGTTTTCCTTCCCTCTTGCTGAGTACTCCACTGCACAAACTTTGGCTTTCCAACCTATCTGTAGTTGCTGGATGAGTTGTCCCTATTTCTCTCTGGTTCTCTATCACATGGAGTATCATTTTCTTATCTTTGACTTTCAGCTTATTAACCCTCTTTCAGGTTGAGAATATTTCCTATTCAGAGCATCTCCATGGATCCTGCCTCCTAATCTACTCTGCCTGTGTTTCTTTTTGTTAGTGTATCAAGGCTATCTATATTAGAGATTATAGCCTACCTTCTCTGCCTCATCTCTGCTATTCTATTTTTCTGCTATCATTTGTCCACTTTTCTTCTTCATTCCACTGTCTGCCCCATTCATTGAGGCCTCTCTGCCACTGTTGCTGGGAATCCTGGTATTTTTTTTTTTTCTCTCTGGAATATCCTTCAGTATATTTGTAGGTTGGATTGGTGGCCATGAACTCCCACAGTTCCTCCTTATGTTGGAAACATCTTGTTTCTTCATTAATTTTGAGAGAGAGTTTTTCAGGATACATCAATTTTGGTTGGAGGTTATTTTCTTTCAGGGCTTAGACTACTTTCCCCCAGGCTCTTCTTGATTTGATAGTTTGTGTTGAGAAGTCTGTCGTTATTTTGATGAATTTTCCTTTATAGATGATCTGCTTCTTTTCTCTGACCGCTTTTAATATTCTGTTCTTGTGGTGAATTTCTGGGATTTTGACTATTGTATGTCTGGGTGTAGATCTGTTTTGGTTGTAGTTGGTTAGAGTTTTTCTATGCCTCATTTATCTGGATATCATTTCTATTTCCTATGCTTGGGAAGTTTTCCTTAATTATTTCTGTGAATAGTCTTTGTAATTCATTTGTGTTTACTCCTGCTTCTTCACTTACATTTTTTATTCCTGAGATATAGATCCTCTTGTTGTCTTCTTGCCTTTGAATTGTTACTTCCTGGTTCCTTGTTATTTTTAAGAGGTCTTTTCTTTCATGATCACACATTGCAAATCTATCTTCAAGTTTCGAAAGGCAAACTTTAGTTTCTGTCCAGGCATTTTGCATTTCCTGGTAATTTCTTTGGATCTGTTTCATGTATTCTAGATTTTGTTTACATTCTCCACCAAAAGTTTCTTTTCCTTTTCTGGGTTTCTCCATTCTTCCATCTGTGTCTTCTTGAGAGGGGCATACCATTTCTTTTATTAATCTTTTTATATCCTGCCTCACTTGGGTTAGAATTTCAGTTTTACGTTTGACTATGAGGTCACAAAAGTATTTCTTTATGTCCGCTGATGTTGTGGCCAATATTGCTTGATTGCTGCACTGGTTCTCTTCTATATTTACCTCTCCTGGGCTTATTTTCCCAGGGTCAGTGCCTGGAGGTTTTTTTCTTGTTTCTTTCTCTTGTCATGTTTCTGGTTTCATGTGTCTGGTTTCTGGTTTCTTTCAGACAGGTGTGTGGTGGAGGTCTCAGGCCCTCTCTGTGTTGGTTAAGGTTTTTCTGAAGCGTGCTGGCTGGGGGCTTGCTTCCCTCTCCAGTTTGCTGTTATCTGAGGTGCACACAGGGACTGAGCCAGTCAACCCGCAAGTGCCCTCAGAAACTTAGTCTGTGCAGTTTGTTCCTGGCTATTTGGTCTCGACTCAGCCCAAGCAGATCCCACCAGTCCTCTTTGGGCCAGGGGTGGATAACTGACACCACTGCAGCACTGGACTCTGCACAACTCCATTATGTCTTGCAGCCAGCCATACACACTGTGTGACCCAGTTTCCAGCACTCACCGAGAATTAATGCAGCTCTCCACCTTGGCTCCATTCCACACTGTGCCGCGTCTTCCTGCCAAGAGCCTGGGACTCACCAACTCCCATCATCGGTGGCTGCCACTTCAGCATGACCTTGAATCATGCAATTCCACAGTGCCCCCAGCACAGTGCAAGACAAGTCCTAGTGAGCATGTCTAGCTCTAGCCCTCCACCCACGTTTTTCCTTCTTCCTATTTTTCTTTTTTCTTCAGTTTTCTCCTGGATTGCGAGAATCCCTCTCCCCTCGTCTGGCCCTTTCCATGTTGTCAAATTCCAGTGTCTGAGCTGTTTTTCCCAGAGAGGCTCTCCACCCAGCTACCTATCAAGCCACCATCCTTGTCTCTCTCACTCTGTCACTGTTCTTGAAAGCATTGTCTATTTTTCTCTGTTTCTAGAATGTCCTTCAGTATTTCTTGTAGGATTGGATTGGTGGTCACAAACTCCCCCAGTTTCTCTTTGTCATGGAAGCATCTTATTTCTCCTTTGATTTTAAGAGGTAGTTTTTCAGGGTACATCAATCTGGGTTGGAGGTTATTTTCTTTCAGGGCTTGAAATACTTCACTCCAAACTCTTCTTGATTTTATGGTTTGTATCAAGAAGTCTGTCGTGATTCTGACGACAGGTGATCAGAATCACCTGTCAGAATCACCTGTTATGGGTGATCTATTTATTTTCTCTGACAGATTTTAATATTCTATTCTTATGATGAATTTCTGGGATCTTGATTATTATATGACTGGGTGAGATCTATTTTGGTTATAGCTGGCTGGAGTTCTGTATGCCTCATATTTCTGGATAACATTTCCTTTTCCTATGTTTGAGAAGTTTTCTTTAATTATTTCGATGAATAGTCTTTGTATTTCATTTGTGTTTACCCCTGATTCTTCACTCACATCTTTTATTCTTAAGTTATAGATCCTCTTGTCATTATATAGCTTTTGTATTGTTACTTCCTGGTTCCTTGTTAGTTTTAAGAGATCTTTCCTTTCACGATCATATGTTGCAAATGTGTCTTCAAGATTTGATAGTCTGTCTTTAGTTTCTTTCAAGAAGTTTTGCCAGCTTTCAGTGGAGTTTTTAATTTCCCAGTAGTCTCTTTGAATCTGTTTCATGTGTTCTAGATGTTTTTATGTTCTTCATCAAAGGTTTCTGTCCTTTTTCTATGTCCCTCCATTCTTCTATCTGTGTCTTCTTGAGAGGTACTTAGCATTTCTTTTATTATTTTTCTTATATCTTCCTTTACTTGTGTTAGATTTTCTGTTTTTAATGCTTTTATAATGTCATGAAGATAATTTTGTATGTCAGATGCTGCTTTTTCTGACTCTGCAGGTATGCAAATGCCATCTCTTCTTACCCAGGCCAGTAGTGTTTGTGTTGGGAGCTGGAGATATCTTTTGTTTCTTCCTCTTGTCATGTTTCTGGTTTCCTCCAAATGAGCTGACAATGGGGGTCCCTGGTATTTCCTGTATTAGCCATGATTACTCTGAAGTATGCTGGCTCGGGATTGCTGCCCTTCCCAGTCTTCTGATGATCTCTGAAGTACAAGCAGAGGTGGAGCAGGCTGATCCCTCCCATCTGAACTGGTCAAGCTCTGGGAGTCTTCACACCTTAGAGTGTGCCATGTAGATGGGCCAATTAGGGATAGCTTCAGGGAGACCTCCTCCTTTGCTATTGGATGGTGCACAAAGGTGGGACTCAGTCTGAGCAATTCTCACCAATCTGGTCTGCACTAGGAGTGGCTGGCTGAAGCTACTTTCATTCTGGTTCTGGGCTTATCTTTTCCAGGCATCAAAATGTCACATAACCAGTCGCCTACTCCCAAGGGAGGACTAAGTCCTTTGCACTCACTGCAAGCTGGTACAGATCTCTGAGCCAAGTGCTGCTGTCTACTTTGTCGCACCCCTCTGCTACCACTTCCTCCTGTAGAGGCCCTCAGGTTCACCAATCCCCAACTTTACTGTGACCTTGCATCTCTGAATTCCAGTGGAATTGTACACAATGGGACCAGCCAGAGAGCGAGTCTGGCTACAGCCTTCCATCCATGATTTTCTGTTCTGTTCTTTTTTTTTTTGCCCTTTAGTTTCTTCCTGGGTAAGAGGATCCATCTCTCTCCATCTGGTCTTCTCTGGGATGTTTTATTCCAGCATCTGAGCTGTTTCAGGGAGGCCCCCTATTTTGCTGCTTACTGATCTGCCATCTTCCTCCACTCTAATGTGTTCTTTCTTATATACACAATGGTATTGCTGTATTACATTTTTGTTTCCATGTTGATATGTGAAATCAAGTAAATGTTTTTACTTGTATAACACATTTTAGGTACATTCAATCAGTTTTCATTTCAATGACTTTAAAATCTAATTTCATTAACAATGACTAGATGATAAAACTTTGGACATTCAGTTAGTTATGGAGGGATAGTTATGAGTTTTCAAAAAGTTCATTAAAATAATAATGCAAAAAGCTTATTTAATATTTAGAAATCATTTAAATAAAATTTGAATAGGTTACAAGCCCTAGACTCTATAGTGACAAATACTTTACATTAAGAAATATTTTGCTGCAAAGTTTTAATTATGAGTTTGTGTATGTGTGTGTGTGTGTGTGTGTACACAATGTGAAGTGTCACAATTATTTTTAGAGCTGTAAATTTCAGTGGTTAGCATTGTGTTTAGAAAATCCATTTACAAATTTAAAGAGAAAAAGATAAGTCATCGGGACATACTAGATTGTTTGGTTACACAGGTGCTATAAGAAACTTAAATGTTCTACAAATGATGCTGGACAGTGCCTCTTGGTTGCTGTGATACTGTTTCCTTGCATTTCATAGTAGCTATTGGGAATATACTTAGTTTAAGAAGAATTCAGAACACAGCTGAAGGAACACAGTAGCAACTAACCAAAAATACTAGTGATGGTAAATGATAATTAAGTTGCTTATTTAATAAAAGAAGACTATGTAAAAACATAGTCTATGTTTATCAAGTACAGTATTTTTTATTGAAGTCCTTCCTCAATTTTCATTAAAGTTGATTTTCTATTCTTAAGTACTACAAAATAATTTTCCACTTCATATTTTGCATTTTAAAGCTTTTTGTCTCACTCTTCCAGGATTGAAGTGTGTATGTCTTTTGTGTGACTCTTCAAATTTTACCTGCCAAACAGAAGGAGCTTGTTGGGCCTCAGTGATGCTAACCAATGGAAAGGAACAGGTGATCAAATCCTGTGTATCTGTCCCAGAATTACAGGCTCAAGTCTTCTGCCATAGTTCTAACAATGTTACCAAAACTGAATGCTGCTTCACAGATTTTTGCAACAACATAACATTGCACCTGCCAACAGGTAAGGGCTTTATCTTTGTTCATTCCAAATTTAATTTTACTCTTGGGAAACTCTAAACACTAGAGAAATCAAACTGTCTTATGTTCCTTTAAATAAGAAAATCTGTTTTACAGTTCTTTTGTTTTTGACTCGTAAAATTCTCAAGAGTCTGTAGAGGTTGATTTTTTAAAAACATACTGCATATCACTGTCAAAACATTGACAATAGCATAACAATAAGAAGAAAGTTGTCCACATGAATTGTATTATTTGAAATGATTGATGAATTTAAAGTAAAAGGTAAATTTTTATGGATTCTTTTAAAGGGAAAAAATTGAGATGTATACAGATGGAGGAGGGGGAGAAAATTAGCACAAATCTAATCTACAATGATACAAAGTAGATCAACAAAATCTAGCCCTGGTGGACGTGGGGATGGATTGAAAATGTGTTGAGGTAATGGAAATGCAGTGGTGGTTACATGGTCATATGTGTGTATCAAAATTTATCAAACTATACATTTAAGACGTTTATTTTGTCATATTGAAATTATACCTCATTAAATTTGATATTTAAGGAAAAAAGATTAGTGCATACTTCAGTTAAGAAATAGAACATAATATTCAGTGTATTTAAGCAAAATTCAGAATTGGACTGGGAAGGGCCTATATTCTAGTTACCCTAAGTACCTGTAATTTTCTCCACTGCATATGAAAATCCTGTCCCTTCAGACCTTTCTTTATAGTCTCAGAACATGTTGCCTGGCAGACCCATGGTCTTATGAACTATTCATTATTGAGAAGATACTTTAAGGATACCATTGTCACAGCTAATGAAGAGATTTTTCTCCACATTCTGTTAATATTTTATATTTGGTCATGTGTGAAATACAGATATCCTTCACTTTAGGCTATTTCTTATCCACAGAGGAACCCAGGAAGAAAATGTTCACAAAGAAAAATGTCCATAATAAACCTTAGATCGCTGTCAAATCAAGGAAGTTTATGGACTACGGGGCAGAGAATAAGTTTGATATAAAAAACAAGAATGCAAGTGGCTTTAGGGGATGAAAAGGACCAAGTATAACTTTTCAGTTTGTAATATATAAGATAATTCCTTATGATATGTTTCCTAAGGGATGATACAAGTACCGGTGCAGACATGGAAGGATAAGAATTTTCAAGATAAATCAGGATGGTAAAGATGATACTAGATTAGATCAATGCATGATGTATGCGTGTTGAAATATCACACTGGATCCCCTATTTTGTATAATTAATTCATGTTAATTATACAAATTAAAAACATATGGAAGGAGTAATTACGGAACATAATTTTTGGGGAATTAGCTTGCTTCACTTGGCATAATGTTTCTGAAATTCATTCATGTTAGGTATCTCAGTACATACTCTATTATTTTTTATTTAAAGAGAATAAAAGACAAGGGCAATAAAACTGATATTGAATTCAAAACACAATAAATTAACAATGGTTATTATATTGCATATTATTTTCAAATATATATATATGTATATCTCCCGCCCTTTCTTCATTTCTCCTTTCCCCCATCCCAGTTGTTCTTCCCTTTTGAGCAGTTTCTTTCCCTTGCACAATGTCAGTTGTACCATTTGGATCTTGTTTACTCTTCCAGTAAGTAAGTCAGATTTATTTTGCTTATAAGTGTGGTTTCTAGTTTGCCTATAAAAAGCCTTGAGTTTATCTTTCTTTATAGTTGAGTAGTATTCTGTGGTGTAAAAGTACCACATCTTTCCTTGGTTGATGATCATTTGTGTTGTTTCCAATATTTAGCTATTACAAATTGTGTTGCTGTAAACATGAGTGCACATATATTGCTCTGGAACTTTAATTATTCTGGAAGAATATCCAGAAAGGGAATAGTTGGGTGGAATGAGACCTCTAATCCTAGTTTTTTGAGGACTCTCCACACTGATTTCTACAGTGGTTGCACCAGTCTACACTCCCACCTCTGTACTGAATTTTATTGCTCAATAATATCCCATTGTATGGATATTCTATACTTTAAAAAAAAATCTGTTCATCTGTTGACATGCATTCAAGTGTTTCCAGTTGGGAATTGTTATTAACAAAGCTTATGAACATTTGTGTACAATTCTTTGCAGTATTTTCATTTCTTTTGAAAAATAAGAGTAGAATCATAGCCTCATTTAAGTATGTGTTTAACTTTATACACTTAACATCATAAATAGTTTCAAACTGCTCATAGCATTTTACATCCCTAACAGAAACAGGTGAGCAGTTAGTCCACAATTTTGCCAATATTTGGTATCATCAGCCATTCACATGATTGCCCAGTGGTATTTTCTTATGGTTTCAGTTTGTCTTTTCATGACAACTCATGATGTTAAATTATTTTTCATGTCCATATTGGTCATTTGCATATTTTCATTTATAAAGTGCCTATTCAAATGTCTACTAAAATTGGATTTTTTTGGTTGAATTATAAAAGTTCTTTATATATTTTGACACAAGTATTTTATCACATTTTCAGGTAACGACCATTTCCTTCCATTCTGTGCTTTACCATTTTTTCCTTGAAGGTATTTTTGTAAATCAGTAGATTAGTGCATACTTTAGTAGATTAAACATGTAATAACATATAATTTGTCTTCTATTGTTATTAATGTTGTTTATCTGTTTCATATTCTAAGCAGTCTTTACCCAAACATTACAAATTTTTGTTTTTAGAAGTATTAACATTTTAGTTTTTATATTTAGGTCTACGTTTACCTAAAATTTAATTTAATTATATGTGTATAAAGTTGGTTCAGCTTCATTAGCTTAAAATGTCAGCTCTTCCCTCATTGAGTTACTTTGGCGCTTTGGTTGAAAATAATGTGTCTGTGTATTTGTGAGTATATTTATATCTTCTGTTTCTGTCCAGTTGTTGTGTTTGTCTTATGCTTCCCTTACCTTATTATAGCTTTCTTTATGGTGAGGATTGAAATCAGGTTTTGGACTCCTCCAGCTGTTCTTTTTCAAAACTGATTTGACTGTTACTAGACGTTGGCATTTCCATTTAAATTTTACAATCAGCTTGAGTATTTACATAAAAACATGCTGATTAGATTGATTATATAGATTAATTTGGAAGGAACAGTCATGTTAACAATGTTGGATCTTTTGATTCCTAAACCTAATATGCTTTCCCATTTATTTAGTTCTTTTTCAGTTAATTTTTGTGGTGCTTTGTAGTTATTAGAGAACTGATACTGTACATATTTCATTGAATTTATCATGCTTTTGGAAACAGTTGTGAATGGTATTTTTAATATTCTAATTTCTAAATGTTAACTTGCTGTTATATAAAAATTAATTTTATGTATTGCTCTTGTTTGTATCCTGCAATATTGAGAAAATCACATATTAGTTTTTAAAAAATGTTCTTTAGAGCTTTCTATATATGCAATTATCCTATATTGTGGATCCGGACAATTTTTTATGTCTATTCTGATCCATATGAACATTGTTTCTTTTTTGTGTCTTTTTGCACTGGTTAAGACCTCCAATATATGATCAGCAGGGGTGGTGAAAGTTAAGATTCTTGTGTTTTTCCTGGTCCTAAGAAGAAGGTATCCTATCTCTCCTTTTTACCTATGGTGTTAAGTGTAGATTGTACATGCCTGTTATCAACTGAAGAAATTTGCTTTTATTTCTAACTTGGTAAGATTTTTAAAAATCTTGAATGAGAATTAATTTTTTTGAGCATTTTCATAAATTTACTGAGGTTATCGTATAAAGTTTCTGTAGGTTCTTGGTACAATGGATTATATTAATTTGTGTACTAGTCAGGTTGTCTGATGCTGGGCCAGAAATACTTGACACTCTGGCTCACAGTTTCTGTACATGGTCGGCTGGCTGTAAGGCAGAAACACCATGGCAAAGGCATTGCAGAGGACAACTGCTTAACCCTTTAAGCCTAGGGAAGGAGGGAGAGAGGGAAGGACCAAGAGAGAGAAAGAGGGATGAGAGATGAATATCCCCTTTTGGTCCTACTCCCAGTGGCTTCCAATAAGGCCTCCCACCTAACAGCAGTCATCTGGGAACTCAGCACCAGATGAATCCACTGATGAACATGCTGCCCCCATGATCCATGCTCCTTCCAAAAGCCCTACCTTTGAACACACGCAGCCCTCCTGGGAGACATTCTTGATCTAAGACATAACAATTGAGTTTCAAACATTATAATAGGTAAAATATGTTTCCTAGCCACTAATTAATATCCCTGCATGAAATGCTGTATGACGTTTCAGTGAATGTAACGTAATCTTCTTAAGCTGAGAATTTTTTCTTTTAATGTCATCATATGGTAAATGAACATTTAAGTTGAAAAATAGACTGTGTGATGTGTGCAGTCATCCTGTGTGGGATTGCTTTCTCTGTGAGGTAGCACTACATGATTATTAGCTGTATTTGGAACAGCAGCTGTTTGGAGAAGAGATGGGAACTTCCAAGCTTAGCACCCACACAGCCCTGGCCAACCACTCTGTTGTTTGTGTCATCTGTGAGTGCATGTGATATCCCCTGCTCTTCCTAGAAGGGGTCTGTCAACTTCAAATGTAATCGTACACACATGAGTGCACTCACAACACACACACATAAAGGAAAGCACTCTGAAAAGTAGGTGGTAACATATTTCTTCAGGTAACATATTTCTTCTGTAGTTGGTGTAATGTGTAGGGGCAAAACAATAGAAAAAAGGGTCATGAGGTGACCAGAGAGGTTGGGTAAAATCTGCGACTTCCCTTGGTGATTCCAGCTGGGGTCGGATGGATCCTTGCTGCCCTGGCTCTTTGATTCATCATCTTGGACCAGGAGGGGCCAATTCTGGAGAGCTGACTTGATCAAGTGCAGAACCTCAATCGCTGCATGTTTCAGCGGGCTCTCTCCTGTTCTTAGATCCCTGTTTGTAATGATTAGGCAATTGCTTTGTTTCTTTGCGACAAAATTTCTATCTTGAATGCAGCTGGAGATACCGTAGTA